TGTTCCTCAGACTGTAAATGATTGGGTTCAACATTGGGGTCACCACTCCATAAGACAGCCCAATGATCTCATCTGATGTCTTTGTGTCCTTTGACTTGGGCTTCATGTACATAAAAAGGGCTGAACCATAGAATAAGATGACAACAGTCAGGTGAGCTGAACAGGTAGAAAAGGCTTTCTTTCTTCCCTCTGTGGAGTTAAGTCTCAGGATGGTAGAGAGGATGAAAACATAAGAGATGAAAATTAACAGTAGAGGAATCACTAAAAAGACAATACTTGCCACTGTTAGGATAAGTACATTGATGGAGATATCTGAGCAGATGAGTTTAAGAACAGCCAGTAACTCACAGGTAAGATGGTCAATGACATTATTCCCACAGAAAGGCAATAACATTGTCAGAATTGTTTGCACTAGGGAGTTTAGACAGCCTGTGATCCAGGACCACACAGCCATGTGCACACAGAGTACCCTATTCATGATGATGGGGTACCTCAGTGGGTTGCAGATGGCCACATACCTGTCATAGGCCATCACGGCCAGGAGAACACACTCAGTGCAACCCAAGCCAAGCGAGATGACCATCTGAAGAGCACAGCCAATGAAGGAGATGGATGTTCTCCCAGACAGAAATATGACAAGCATTGGAGGAATGGTTGATGATGTGTAACAGATGTCCAAGAATGAGAGGTTCCCAAGGAAGAAGTACATGGGGGTGTGGAGGCGGGAATCCAGGATGCTGATGAGAATGAGGAGGCTGTTTCCCAGGAGGATGATCAGGTACATGATGAGGCAGAGCGCAAACAGAGAGAGCTGGAGCTCCGGGTATTGGGAGAGCCCCACCAGAAGGAATTCGGTCACAGCAGAGTGATTCCCCATGGCCATGTGGGCAAGTAGTCACCTGCAGGGTTCAAGTAAGGACATGACTCAGGGAAATGTAAATTTATAGTGCAGATTTTCAATACACATCCACTTTCATTATTTTGTTTGATTCTTAGAACAGTCCTGAGAATCGCAGAGGGCAAGGATATTATGCTAATTTTATTGATAATGAAACTCAAGCACTGAGAGATTCAGAAGTACCACACAGCAACAGAAGCAAGGCCACCAACACCCCCAAGAAGTGTTCTGGGAATTGCCATGCCTGCAATAAAATATGCCATGCCTTAATAAAATAATACCCACTGCCATCGAGTTGATTCTGATTCAGAGACCCATTAGGAAAAAGTGGAACTTTCCCGTAGGTTTTCCAAGGCTGTTAATCTGTATGGAGGCTGACTGTCTCATCTTTTTCCCTCAGAGGGGCTGGTGGATTGCAACCACTGACATTTGGATTAGCAACTGAATACTTTAACCACTGCACTACTGCAGATCCTCCAATGAAATAATAGGGACAAAGTAACTTTAAATGTGGATATAGTGCAATCTCATCATCAATGAATATTCTAAGATCAAAGCTGTTTTCTAATGAAGCTGGTTCTATTTTTTAAAATTACATCATACATAACCGACACCACATCATTGAGTTTAGGTGTGAATTTGGATG